CACACACACACACACACACACACACACACACACACACACACACACACTTGGATGATTTCATTTGGATGATACATTTCATAACAGAGCGACATTACTACAATACAGTCTCACGGGTCAGGCGATTAGACAGGTTATGAACAAGCCAGACTTTAGGTGCTAATCTAAATGCACTTTGTAATAGATGATAAACTTAAATGATAAACCACTTTGTTTGAAAATCCCTTCATTGCTCAGGAAAACTGTGTGTGTTCACAGTTATGGCAAGTAAGACTGGTCAAAGTTGAAGCGAGATGTCACTCTGAAGACAAACAGTTTCTTTTCCCTTTCATTATTATCTTCAAAATGAGTTTGGCTCATCTGTGGGTTTGTTTAAAACATGTCTAATGCTTTTTGCCCTGTCTGACTTCTTCACAGCAAACACTGTCCAAGATCTCTGGAATTAACTTGGGAAGTAGATCGTCACCATAATAGAAACACACCATGGCCAGATGTGCAAAAAACAAGGTCCAAGTTGAAATGACATTGACGCTTAAGTATAGGAACCAACACAATAACAAACGAACACACAGGCACACAACTCAAATAGAGTTCCTCTTGAAGTTTAGGGTTGCTTACAGGGGTAGAGTATGCAGAGAGAGCTACTGTACCATCACAATACAGCCATCAGAGCAACAACTGAGAGAATGCATAAAATATGAAAGATTGTGTGTGCGTGTGTGTGTGTGTACAGTATGTGTGTAGACTGCCTCAGGCCAGCAGCTATTACCAACCTCCCTCTTCTCTTCCTTTAACTATTTATCTTTCTGTCTCTAATGCTCTAAAGGTGTCACGCAAACATGCACTCCAGTGCGCGCATACACACACACACAAACACACACACACCTTCTCTTTTCAACTGCCCATATCCATCTCTCTTGTTTTCTTGCTCATTAAACTTTCACACATTCTGAGATCATAATCTGAATTCCCACACTGCTCCCCCTTTGTTTCTGGGTTCTACTGAGAGATGTGAATTTTCTTTTACTTGAACAAATGCTGACTAAACAAGAAAACTTACATTGTTCTTTTGGTTTTGGGGTCTAAAATGCATTTGTCTTTATTTAATGGCATCTTATTGTACAAAAGTCAGCATGCAACATTCAAATTTTAGTGTTGAGTAAATTTAATATGTCCTTTGCAATAGTGTCAAAAATTGTTTTCGATCAAAGAGGCTTCTATATGCTCTTCTTCTGGCAGAAAACTAGTTCGGCTGCAAACACATTGACCATAGTTCAGTTCACAAAGTAACCACAGAGTGGCACTGCAACACCAGAGAGAGAGAGGACAGGATGCCAGTGAGCAGGTTCATTACATCACACAAGTCAGGTGACTTCCTTTCTTTAACACATACATGATTTGCTGAAAGGCTGATATTTGGTTCAAAAATAAAGTCAGACTGACTTCATAACAGAGGAATATGTGCTCTTCAAATTTTAGAGTTGCCAGTCATTTATATGTGGAATACTGTGTTACCAAGTACTAATAGTATTTGAAGGCAGTACAAGTCTAATATTTGAACCCTGACTTTCAGACAATTTGGGGCCTTTGCTTGTAATTGTAATTCAGTCCCAACTGGTCACCTTGTGTGTCATTAAGCAAAACAAATCATCATAAAACAATATGAAAGGGTGATCGTAATATGTTGTTGTTTTGATCTTACCAATGCCTCTGGATTGGAGAAGGTATTGTTGAGGTCCACTGTCTCTAGCTGGGCTGGGGGGCTGCAGGGAAACACAAGACATATAGCTAACAAATGACAAATAGCCAGAGTATATTTCCTGAAATAGTACATGAAAATACACAAATCTGGAAATGATACACAAGTCTTAACTGTTGAGTATGTCAATGTGTATTACTTGAGGTTAAGTGACGCATAGCGGAGGGTAGCCCCTTCAAAGGCCTTTAGACTGGGATCTGGATAGACTGGATAGTCCTTCAGCTCCTGAAGCAAAGCAGACAGACATTCAGAGAGAGAGACCAACATCAGTGGTGAGGGAATGAAGAAGATACAATACTGCCAGATTCATTTTACCAACTTATCTGATTTCATTGGCTTTGTAATAACTGAAGATGTTAATACTCATTTTAACTTAATATGAGAGATATTCATCTTTGTTGAATATGCACCTCAGACCAGCCTGGACTGAGATTCCTGTGTGCTCATTTCAATCTAATACATGAAGTAGTGAAAGCAGAGATATGAATCAAGCTACACGTAGTACACATATACATAGTGGAGAAAGCGATATAAAGTATAATTAAAATTGACCAAAGCTAAAAAAGTAAAAAGAAAGCTGGACAAGCTAGGTACAGACACCAAATTCCCCATCCACTGTACTGCAGGATTACATTATGTCGCCCTATGTAACAGTATGACTCTTTATGTTTTATTTTAATAGTGATTGGATGAGTGTTCTACTTTGAATTTAAAAGCACACTTGCAACATTCTGGTTCAGGCCAAAATGAAACAATAAAACGATCAATAAATATCACAAAACTAAAGCGAGAGAGAGACACGATTTCAACAAGTGAATACTCAAATAAATGTGACACTGTGACTCACGTTGGCTGTGCAGGCGGTGGTGTTGAGAGTTGGTCCAGAAAAGGTGACATCATCTAAGAGGGTGGAGGAGGAGGAGGAGGAGGAGGGGGAGGAGCGGGAGGAGCCAGAGGGGGAGGGGACCGGCTCCACCGAGCTGTCAGATATCAGACTGCTGGGGCGCTGTGTGAGACAGAGAGAGAAGCAACATGAGAGACACACAGAGACAGAGGATGGACAGCGTTCCATTATAATGGAGTAAGATTGTATACAGTTATATGCATCAATCTCTAATATAATGGAGGTTCCTCCCTGACCACAGCTACACAGAAACAAGCTAAACCTGTGGTTACATTTGTTATTAACATGTCACTATTTTTACTTTTTAATAAATCTATTGAAGACAGATGTTATAAATATTTGACAAAACAATCTTAACTCACGGTCCACTTGTTCCAATGTCAACATTAAGATTGAATGAATTTAATTCCATGTTTATTTGGTAGGGACAAATACATATACATAGAGAATTGCAAAACAATTATCCAATGCAGTGTATCATAGCATTTTTATCTACTGCTAATTTCCAATGCTCGTCCCTAGAAGGGCCTTTATAATAACAAATATGACGATTTTAATGCTTGACTTCATGATTACATGTTTCAGTTGCTCAGTTTCAGTCCCATTGTTAAAATTTCACAGTGGAGGAGACATGTCATTGCCAACCAACTTATGAGGATGACATAACTTTTTCTTAATATTCCAAATCATGGCTTCAACATTTGACTCACAGAATGCTGTATGTGGATGTGCAGGTATCCTAAAGCATCCCTTTTAAGTTGTTTTCAGTTTGTTTGCTGCCCATGTAACCATTAAATATATAGTACTATTATTCATATATTCAACATAATAAAATATTGTGTATTCTCTCTGGGGATTGAGAATGTTGACATTACACAATCTTCCACTTTAATGAAAAAAATACTAGAACTTCAAAGCCCAACACAGGATGAACCTGGATATGTAGCTTTGCACACTAATAGTTAAATGAAATAATGTTTGTCCGGGTGTGTCTGAGGCGTGTTAGTTCTGTGGGTCCTCTCACCTCGCTTGGAGGCTTCAGCGAGTCCTGCGTTTCCTGTTGTGGGTCGTGCTCAGTGTCTGGCTCGTTGTTGGGAGAGGTGTGTACTGGTCGGTGGTACTGTGTGGTGCCAGTGGGGATGTGCCAGAAATAGATCTCTGATGAATCTGAGATCTCCCGCCAGCCTGGGGGCAGGTCCCCCTCACTCCATACATCTGCTGAAGGATGACAAGTGATACACAAACACATGTTGCATCACACAAACATCAACATATGCACGCTTGCACACGGGAGGGCTCTGCAAAAACACATGATCACGACGTATCACAAAAGGCTGTACACACACACACACACACACACACACACACACACACACACACACACACACACACACACACACACACACACACACACAGGGATGGACAGGGTACATTTCAGTGATGGTCAGCCTGTCCTTACTCTAGTTTCTGTTGTCATAGCAACTCCGGGGCTCATCCCCTGTAGTCTGACCCAGTGGGCAATGGCATCTCTCCTTTCCTCTCTCCGCTGGTTGTCTTTTTTCCCCGTCTACCTTCTTATATTTATCTCCCTCATATTCTCAAACTACTGCTTTGTCATGCATCCTTGGAAATCATCTCTTACTAAATACAGCACTGCCTGTTTCCCTCCTTTTTCCTTCCTTTTTCACACCCTGCTATCTACAGTGCCCTGTATCCTTCTGTCCATCCTAATCACTCTCTGCGAGTGTGGTCCACATGGGGCCACATGGGGCCTTTAAAGGTCCCAGCAGTAATGCCGGAGTGACTTGCTCGCTTAAGAAGAGGCTTTTGGTAAATTTCCAGACAGCAGGAGGTAGAGGGAGGGAGAGAGAGGGAGTGGGAATGAAAGGACAACGCAATCGAGGCATGATTAAAGGCTGACACAGATATGGAAATAGAAAAAAAAAAGAAAAATCAGAGTGAAAAGACAAACACACACATGTCGAACCTGTTTCCCGTGGAGTCTGAGGAGAGGGTGACTCCTGGGATAAGGTGGTCCAGCTGGAGTCTTCATCTTCTGATGGAGTTTCAGGAGTCAGATCGATTCTTAAGCCCACTTTAGGGAGCCCACTCTCAGGTTCAGGATCCGGCAGGGCAGGGGCTGCCCGGTTCCTGGTAGGGGTGTTCCTCTCTGCAACCCGGGCCTGTTTAGGGGAAGAAGGCGGGTACTGCTGCAGGAACTGGTTCTCATTGTTGGGGTGCAGCTCGACCTTGATAACCCGAGGCTGGGAGCTCCGAGGGGGTTTTGCAGGACTGCGTGGACTAGACTGAACCATGGCACAGAGCTCATCTCTGATCGGGGCTGGAGCATGGTTCTGGAGGTGACTTTGGTTGTCTGGGACCCACTCTGGGCTGTCGGTGGAGGAGGAGGACGTCGGGGAAAGCGGGGCTTCCACCACCACTGGTAGCAGGGGCTGCCTTGGTGTAGGCGTGGGGTCATCTTCCTCCTCCTCCTCCTCCTCCTCCTCCTCCTCCTCCTCCTCCTCCTC